ATGCTAAGAGGAAGATGGGTTTTGGAGAGATGAGTGATTTAAACAGTGTTCCATTTTGTTAATTGAGTTTTTGTTATCAATACTACTAATAATGTACTACTGGTCGGAGGGGGAGGTTGAAATGTAAACAATGTCACTAAGATTTAGGATACAACATGCCCAATCGTTATTTACATTTAAATTGGAAAAAATGTGTATTTTAATTTTTCTAACTGCCAGTGATTATGTGTTTGGCACAAAAATGTTCATTCATGAAGTTGCATGTCTAATTCTTCTGCATTCACTCTAATTTCTTGCATTGTTGGTGCATGTGTGGTCTTTATGTAATGTTTTCCACTTCACGTGGTCTGTGTACTTACTAAGAGGTGCACATAATTAACCTTTGTAGCGAGAGACCTGGGTTTGATTCCCGGCAGGGCAAAACCTTGGGCAAGATTCCTTACTCCACGCGCCTGATAATAATCCCTCAAGAAAGAAACAATAATAAATTAATAAACTAATTAATAATAAATCAATGACTGTTTGTGGAACACTGCTGTCAATTCACTTTACAGTATATTTTGTGAAGTGCTTTGAGACATCTTGAAGACGTGAAAAGCGCTATATCAAATGCAAGGATTATTTATTATTATTGTTGTTCTTGCCATACGTTTTGTCAGGTTGCAAATATCAGGGGCAAAGTTTCGTTCGAGATTTTCTGCAAGAGATTCTGTTGTTGAGATGGAATGAGGAAATGTTTTCCTTGGCGGCTGCATTTCTCAAATTTGTTAATAACCTGGTTCTGTCACATAAATCAACAGAAATGGGACTTGAGTAAAGCTCCTTAATGTTACTCCTGAATTGAGATGTTAAAGTAGTTAAAGAGGGCTGCTTAATTTTTTGGCTCCACGAGCTAGTTTTGTGAAAACCTGACATAGTTCGATGCCTTATGTTCCGCTTTCAATTTTCATCTTTGATGAGAGTTGGCAGACATTTGCATCACGCCTGTAGCTTTCCTTAATTGTTTAATTAAATCTTTTTTTAATGAAAACCTACTTTAATTACATTTAAAAAAAATCCCAACAATTTGGAAAAGCTTCAGCTTTGTTGTACCTCCAACCACTTATCGCGCAGCCCGACGAAGATTTTATAATACAATAATACATTTATAATAATATAATCCTTGCATTTGATATTGATCCTTATCCCTTCGTCAACAGTCTAAAGCCATTTACAGGTTTTTATTGTGAAGTGTAGTGACTGAATTTGTCCCACCAAGAGTCATGAAGTGAATGATCAATTTTATCTGGGGGATTGTTGGCCAGGACACTGGGAGAAACTCCCTTTTTAAAATAATATCATAGGATCTTTAACATCCACCTTCACCGGCTGAGGGGAACTTGGCTTAAAGTCTTGTCTGAAGGATGGCACCTCCAACAATGTTGCACACTGCCAGCACTGCATTGGAATATCAGTCTGGGCTGTGAGTTCACTCATACTGAATAGTACAGTTTTAGTGAAGCACAGTTGAAGGCACAGGAAGTCAGCTCAGTGAATGCTGTGGTGATCACCTGAAAAGATCCTGGTATGAATGCTTGCCCAAGATCCTATGATATACGCCTTCATCTATGCTAGGAGATACTGAGTCAAGCCGCATTGTATGTTTTCTACTATTTAGCTAAACGCAGTGATTATTTTGGACAGAGCAACTTGTGGCCTCACAACTGGGCATCCCAAAATTGATGGTTGGTGGTCTCAATTGTGTGCTAAGATGATGGTAGGTAGTAAACTGGGTATTGGCTTTTCAAGGCTGGACTATGGGAACTCTTTCCTCGCCGGCCTTCCCGGCACCTCCCACCACAAGCTGCAGGTCATTCAGAACTCTGCAGCTCATGTACTGTCCCGCACCAGGCTTCGGGACCACATCACTCCCACCCTCGCTCGCCTCCACTGGCTCCCCATCCCCCAGAGGATCGATTTCAAGATCCTCATCCTCACCTACAAGGCCATTCACGGCCTTGCTCCCTCCTACCTCTCCGACCTACTATCCCCTACCTACCTGCCCGTACCCTCCGTTCCTCTGGCTCCGGTCTGCTCCACATCCCCCGCCCCAACCGCCCTACCATCGGTGGCCGGGCCTTCAGCCTCTCAGCCCCGAGGCTCTAGTACTCTATCCCCCAGTGCCTTCGCCGCCTCCTCCCTTTCCTCCTTCAAGGCCGGTCTCAAGACCTTTCTCTTTGACCGTGCCTTCAGCTCCCCTCTCGACTCTCTCCCCCCTCCTCGCTCCCTCCCTTCCCTCCCCTCACCCTGACCATTTCCCCCTTGCTCAGGTCCTGACCCAACTGTACAGCGCCTTGGGACGTCCTCCCGACGTGAAAGGCGCTCAATAAATGGAATCTTGTTGTTGTTGTTGAATGAATCACATAAACGTTCATTTGCAACTTTCCTCACAGTCCACCAGATGGTGCTAATTAACTGGCCTTGGTAGCCTTGATGGTGAAGAAGAACTGTTAGGTGATCAAAGTTGCCACCAGCGTTAATTTCTTTGGCGTGTTTTGATGCATGTGTAGAAAGCCTTGTGCCTCCAATTCTCCTCTTACTATCTTCTTGCTGTTGTGTGAAGCACTGAGTGGAAGCCACGGGCTGGTCTGCTGCAGGTCATTTTTGTGGCTTTCATCCAGAGCCGGTAGAGGGGTGAGGGGGAGTGATCTCCACTTCATTGCCTTGGGGAGGGAAGGATGATGTGTGGTACTAAGGGGCTTCACGAGAGAGATAATTAGTTAAAATATTAAAAGTACAAAAATGAAATCCAAGCAAATTTGTCCAGATAGGATAAGTTTGATAATGATTATTTATTATTATTTATGCCAGTCGTCAACAACAACAAAATTACATTTGTATAGTGCCTTTCATGTCGGGAGGAATTTCCAAGGCAAAATATAGCCAGGATCTATTTAAGGCACTTCACCCATTGCTTTTGGCTGTCCTTCCCATTACTGATGGCGCTCTGTAGGCTTGCTGCTCAATGTTTCATCCTGTCTTTCTGGATCTTCCATTCAGTTGCATTTAATATAGTGCCTGCCTAAATATGGGATGTTACTTCAGCTGAGATTCATTGCTGTACCCTCTTCTCTGTTGTTCAGTGAGAGAAAGCAAGAGGCAGGTTTGCCTCAGCATTCATGAAGCCAGTAAAACTGTTCTATTAAAACTAAGGTCCTATTAAAGAATAATAATGTGATAAGAATGAATCTTGAAAATAAATCAGCTCAACCTCTCACGTCCCACATTCAGAATCACATTTCCAGCTCGACCGGTATTATTTTGACCCTGTTATTAGAGTGGATTTACCTTGTATTAATGATAGCTGTCTAGACTGAAGATTGTTAAATCCTAGCAACCCTATCAATAAGAGTTAAAGTTGTGTAGAAATTAGCGTGGCTGTAGACTATATGAGGTTATTCTGACCTCATCATTGTACCGATTAATAGATTTCTAGAGGTGATTATGCGATATGAATTCAATAAACTCTTTAGTTGACATCATAAACTGCAGAATTGAAATTTAAGTGGTTTGTAATTTAAAGCTATTATTGGATTGTGATTGCCCCATTGTGTCAATCTTGATTATTTTTTAATGGAGCAATTTTACAGGATGGTTCAGGTTAGATTTTTGGTTCATTGTGGGCTGATGTTAACTGTGTTAAAATAGTTGTAGTAACTTTTGAAGAAATTTTCTGGCTGGTACGGGTTGTAAAGGAAAGAAGTGAATGGTAGTCAGTCTAACATGATAATACGGTGGGTACTTTTTTCAAAGAACCGTGATTGAATTTCAGGAGGCAAAGCAGATTTCTTTAAAATTAATGGAACATTCTGTGAACAAAAGAGGATGAAAATAACAACAAAATTACACTTGTATAGCGCCTTTCACGTTGGGAGGACGTCCCAAGACCCCTCTGTCTGCTTAGCTCTGTAACAGTGATCTGTAAAAGTACTATCTTGACCTGTTTTCTTTAATAACTTATTTTGCAAAGGTCTTTGAACAAAATGAGTCAACAGTCAGATGCCAGACCATTGTCAACTACAGTTTCTGTCAAACATAAAATGCAGATCCGTAGTTTTTATGCTTCCAACAGTGGTTTTCCAAAGGCACACTGTAAAAAAAATTATTTTGTACAGCTAATGAAAGTATCTTATCTCCGTCTTCGTAGAATAATGATTCAGGTTGTACAATCAGAAGTTTCTGGTCTGTGTAGCCAGATAATCAGTAAATAGTTTTAATGCAAAACATCTGTCTTACTAAATATTTATTACTCACGATATATAATACACATTAACGTAAACAGTACCCCAGACTTTTAAGTAAGCAGGGTCGTACCTATGATTACTTTTCTCAGGGGACTGTGGGGGAAGAGAATTTCAAATACCACTCCCTTCATCTGAACACCTTCCCGCTACAAATGCCAGGATCTCTCCCTGTAGCCCTGCCCAGGACCGGCGCTCCCACATTGCATGTACCATCCCGATTGGGTGCTCTCTTTCTCACATACATCCTGGCACTGTATTTAAAAAAAGCAGTGAAAAAAATGTTAGTAAAAAAAAAGCCGGTTGGTAGTACAAACAACGGCCAAGTAACGATACCTGTGGCATTAAAGATTAAATGTGAAATGTCTAAATTTTCTAATCTGTTTGTGACGCTTTGCTACATTCTCGCAACCCAATTTTGGGTCGGACCCACAGGTTGAGAAACCATGATCTTGACGTGCAGTTCCCATATTGTCTATTATTTGATGCAGCAACATTGTGCATCATATTATTCTTGCTACAATTATCATCTTATCCCAAGTGCACTGCATGTTCCCTTATCTGACTAGTTTATTGGGTATTCGTGATTGATTTTGTGCTCAACAGGAAATTGTGCCCAGCTCAGTAGCATTTCTGACCAAGTTTTCTTGTAATGTTTATACTTGTGAGACTTTATTTCCTGGAATACAATTTATTGACTTGTATTGTTACATCATCTAGACTCTGTGTATACTCACAAATATAGCAGATGGAACCACAGCAAAGGACCTTATCATGACCAATGATGACATCTTACAAAAAATTAAATATTACATGGTAAGTAAGCTTCTCTTTTTAAAAAAAAAGTAAATTATGTGGATTGTGGCTTTTTCTGTAATTTAACTTTCATTTTGAAAAAATCAACAGATAACAGTTCAATGGTTCATTCATAAATCTATTAATACAATAATTAATACAATAATGAATGAAACTGCACAGCATTAATTTAATGCAACCACACCTGTGCAGTGACTGATTTAATTTGTTAGAAGGGTCAGACTCAAATGGCTGTGCTCCTCTGTGTGGTAGGTTTTTGAACATTAGAAACAGGAGTAGGTCATTCAACCCATCAGATTAAATAACAGTCTGTGAACAAGAGATTTGATGAACACCAAAAATAGAATAGTTTCTATTGCTCTTCAATGTCAGGCCCTCAGCACCTGAGAATGAGACTCATTTTGGGTGTTTATAAATGCTTGTAAGTGGTGCCCAATGATATGGCTGGTACATATAGTAGCGATATTCATATTCAGTGGTATATTGAACCGCCTCCCGATGTGAAGGGCACTGTAAATGTGAGTTTTTGTTATTGTTGTATATTGTCAGTACTGTATAATTCTTTTTTGAGGAGGGAGGCATTTTGATAATTTTTCTGAGCTTGTCTTAATTTAACAATTATAGCTCTTAATACAATTTATTAATTTCCAGGGTCATTCAAATATAAAACTCCAGCTTGCTGCTACATTTTGTATATCTAATCTCATCTGGAGTGAGGAGGAAGGTAAGACTGGAAACTGTTCCTCAGTTGCCTACATAGTACTTCCTCGGAAGAAAGGTTAAGAGTTCAACTTTGTTGCATATCATGAGATTTTGGACAAAGTGTATAAATGAGGAAACTGTTCTACGTCAGTCATCACTCAGTTTTATGTTTCTACCCGATACATTCTCAATTGAATTGCATTGCATTTTTGGTTCATTAATTTGGCCCCATACCCTCACAACATTATCTGGATTTGCCATTGGAAATGTACAACAGTTTTAAATACAAAGAAAAGTGTCAAGAGTACCAGTGAATTTCAAATTCATTTTGGGCAATAATATGAAATACCTTGTGATTAGGTGTCTCAGACACTGGCTATTGCTTTATTCACAAGGCAATTGGGGAATCAACAAGGATAGTCTGAAGGGTGAATTGTCACTTGGTAAAGATATCTTGTGATCTTGTCCAATATCTTGTAATGTTTGGAAGACAAGATTATATCAATCATCACTGCTGCCCAACTTTTTTTCCTTTAAGTTTTAACAAAGTATATGAAAAGCAGCTATTAGAACAGTTTGCACTATAGTATGGGTATATGATCGTGGCTAATATGGGAAACTTTCAACGTAGTGTTTGGAGCAAACATTGTGACATTGCTGGCTGTACCAGAGCGCAATGTACTTGGGGAAAAAACACATTGTTGAAACAGAAGGATATTAACGTAGAACTTAGAAGGTACTTAGACAACTTGGCTGATAAACTTGTCTATTATGTATGAAACCTATCCCAGTGTTGTAGGTTGTGGGCCAGCAGACACCTTATTCTAGTTAGAGTTTTCGAAGTGCAACATGGATTCATATTGATCGGACTTTGAACATTCAACCTAATCCAGCAGTTAAATCAAAAAGTATATTGTGGGTTTAACAGAAGACTTAGCAATTTGAGTGTTGACTTTTTAATTGCGAGTATAAGACTTCAGAAATAATCTTTCATGGGGAACACTTCATTTGTGTCACTCTGAAGTCATTCATTGCATCTGACAGTTCACTTAAATAAGATTTTCTTGTGTTTATAGATTTCCGTGTGTTTTTGTTTGGCAAAATGGAAATGTTATCATTTATTCAATTTTCCATATTAACTTTTTACTTTTTCATAGGTTCCAATGAACGTCAGGATAAACTCAGAGAGTTGGGCATAGTGGATATTTTACATAAATTGGTTTTATCTACAGACCCCAACCTTTGTGACAAGTAAGTATGGATAACATCTAGGTATTGTGATATTGTGCTTTGGTTAGAATATATTCCCTCCTTTTTAGTAACACCACAAATCTTGTTGGTATTATATCAAGAATGACACATTCCATCCCTTGAGGCTGAAGAAATATACTACTGCAGCACATTACTGATGACATAATGTTAGTTTGATGCTCCATTATCCCTGGCACCATCATCTAACAAAGTAATTGGCATTCTTTGTCAGAGCTAAAACTCTTAGGAGCCCAATTTCAAACCAGATGGAATTGGGACAAAAGATGGAATTGGTTCCAAATCTGTCCAGTCCAAATGGCTCATACGCATTTAATGTAGTTATATTAATTTACTTTAGAAGTCTGATGGGCAAGGCAAACATTTATTTACAAAACGTAAGGCAACTAAGGGGTGCTATTAAACAAGAAGCAAAAGGGCTGCGTGAATGTGAACAACATTAGTTTATCTGGAAGCGAGTGACTTAATGGGGATTCAGCTAATGGGAGTTATTGCTCATAGCTCAGTTACAGGGTTTGTTATGTCAACCATGTGTAGCTGTTGGTTAATTAGCATTGAATGGATTAATAGATCTGGTTAATGTTGGCCTTGCTACAATTTGAATGCTGGTTGATTTATTCTCTTGGGATCATGTGAAGTTTCATGTGAGATGCGTGGTAACAAAAAGCAGTTTTCCTTAATTCTTAACCTATTAAATCTAAGCATTGCTCCTTTAGCGCTGCATCATAATGATTCGATTTGAAATGTTGTCATTATCTCGCTCGTACCTGTGATAAGACAAAGAACCTATGGATAGAAAATGTGGTTCACTGTTACACACCAGTTGAATGGCAATGTTGACTTTGGATAAATTATTAATTTTGGCATTGTCACAATTTGATTGATAAATAAAGTGATAAATAAAGGCAAAACCTAATGGAATTTTAAGCTGATTACAGTTAAACAACTGCTCAGGATCCCTTTTCAAATCTGTTCCAGGGCAAAGACAGCACTGCAGCAATTTCTGTCGTGAGTCTCCAGCCTGGTGTCCCACCCAAAGCTCCAAATACATGGCAGGAGGGGGTTTCAGTGGGAAGCCGAGCCCTGGCTCTTTTGTGCACACGTCACCTTGGACTGCAGTTTTTTTGCATGCAGTGATTCGTGAAGAAACGTTAATCATTCAGGAAGAAGAAAGCAATGCAGCAGAAAAAGAGGTTCAGTCTCAACATAACTGCTTCCATGAACTACTTGGAGACTTTATCAACTTTGAGAATAATCTGGTTACCCCCCCACCTCCCCCTCCCTTTGAGCCTGAAAACAATTCTGCTCATGCTGCAGCTATTTTGGTGTGTGACTGATTACTTTTCTGAATTCATTTTTGAAATAATTTTTTCTACAGTTTTTCCAGGGTAGTGTATTGCTTGCTGAATGAATGCTGTACTTGGTGTAAAGGATTTACTCATAGAGAACACCTTAAAGATAATGTAATATTTAAACAAAACTGTACAAAAAATATATATAATTTTGGTCAGAAGCTCCAGAGAGAGTGAGTATGTAAAATACTGTGTGCATTTGATTTAACCCAATTTTCTGCATTTACTTTGAGACGGCATCTATTTATGGGCCTACACAGGTAGTATTCGATTCCAGGAGGAAGGGCACAGCTGAACTGGCCTTTACCTCTGAAAATCCAGGTACAAATCCAGCTCAGGGAAAGGTAATGAAGGAGTTCTCTCACTGGCACTCATTGACTCTTTTAATAGCACTTACCTGATTTCCCTTTGAACAGTTGGTAGTTCTGATCTTCAGTAGAAGTTTGCTTCAATGAAAGCATGGCTGGTACCATTGGATTGAGCAACAGTGGTTTATCCATTGCACAGTCAGCTTGACCCCCACTGCTGCTATCTTCCATTCTCTGGAGAGGCCTGGGATTCAGTGTAGTCAATCAGATATTGAAGCTTTTCTGAAGTTGGTGTCACGAAATAGCAATGGGTCATTTCAGGGAACATTTACATCTAAATTATGCCTCAGGCAGACAACCACTTCTATTAGTCTGGTATTTACAGTTGGTACAGCAGCTGTATTAATGGCGTTGATACACCTTCCTTCCAGATGCAAGTTGTTTGTACAAGTAATACAGAGTGCCAACATGTCATCAGTGCATTGGCAATGTGGAGTGGGACATCTTCCCAACATGATTCACCTTCATCTGCACAAGTACTGTACAAACAAAGGTGCGGACACTTACTTTGTAAGGTCGCTGAGTGTGGCAATGGCCAACTTCAGCATCAGTTCAATTGTTCTAATCCTGTTTAATCACCAATCAAACGCTACACTACCTATTTTAGAAGGCAGAGTAATACATAGAAGAACATTACCCAAGATCTTTTCGTTTGCTCAAATTCAACCTGTGTAGGCCAGCCGAAACAGAATGCTGTCTTCGTTATCTTTTTGAGTTTAAAGTTCACAGTTGAAACAACTAGCTGTTTGTTTTGCTGCTTTCTTGCTTTGAATCCTTCATTTCTCTCAGAAGACAGGCATTTTAATCTTAGCAATCTATCTAGTCGTTCATTGCCATGAAAAGATTTAATATTTCTGTGCTATTGGGTTTCATGCAGCCGTACAAAGAAGGGATTTCTTCCCCCAAGCTGGTTCTCAGCAAATAAAAGAAACGGAAAGCTGTGTAAGGTTTTGCATTGAACTTTCCAGTGTTTGTTAGTATTTGTGTTGTCTTGGACAAGGTCTGTTGCTGCATGGGTTGGTTCCTGGCCGTCGGCTGCTTATAATTATTACTGTCTCAGCAGTTTTTCCTTTTTTGTTTTCGCACCAACGGACTTTTTTGTACAGAGACGAGAAAATGGATATAAAAAAGTGAATATGGTAACAATCAGAGGCTAAAGTATTTTCTCCGAGCATTGTTTGAACATGCAACAATAGCATCATTTCAAGATTAATCTGAGTGAAGCTTTTTAAATTGCGACCAATTTAAATGCACTCCAAATGGATCATTGTAATCATACTGTGTTCTAAACTAGTCTACTTCCTTTTTTTTGTCCATGCGTACAGTTGATCTGAATAGGTTTTGCCTTGACACACAAGTGTTTTAATAGCACCGTCTCTGTAATTATAATGCGAGAAGACTATCACATTTTTCTGACGTCATTTAAGCTCCACTGACTGAAGTCGGTTATCTAAGGACTGGCTTCTTGGGCTGTTTTATATAACACTGGTTATGAAACATTAGTTTTTGTCTATTTACTAGAGTCTGTTGTGATATCAGTATAATGTACTCATATTCATGGTGTTTGTGTGCAGGAAATTTATATTTTCTTATTAAAAGAATGATTTTCAGTTAACCTATTGTACAGAATCCAAAGACTTGCTTTCCTTAGTCCCGGCCCACAATTGAAATCCTAACGATGCCTCTGAAGAAAATATCCATAGACTGCACTGCAACAAAGTCTCATTCCTTGACGAATTCTATGCAGAGTAAGTGTATGTGTGTGTGTATATATATATGTGTATATATATTATATGTGAATCCTGAATAATGTGTCTAAAATGTGTAATTTGACTTACGTGATCAGCCTCACCATTTTTCCACTCTCCTCATCAGTTGCTCTTTAAGCGCTTTGAGGCCTCCATCCCACTACACAAGCGCAAGATGAGTTTTTCAACATCTGTCTGCAGCACCATATCTTTCATGCACACATCAGTGATTGTGCTTGCAATCTCATCTGGATGCTGGTGCAACCAGTCAGTCTGTCCTCAAACGTATACAGTTGTTTATTGAGCAGTCTGAGCAGAAATCCAACTTCTGAATCCGCATTAACAGCTGGACTGAGCGCAGCACTAAATAACAAGTTTTCACAGCTCAACCAGTGATCTGCAGCCTGGTTACTGGAATAATAATGAAAACAGGGAATTAGAAGTACATTGTAAAGCCAATTGTTAGCATTCAAAAGATGCAATGTTTCACACAATTCGTGCAGAACTTTGATAAATCTGTCTGATGCAGTGCTTTTTACCAATCGATATTTTTTATTCAAAAAGATATTTGAATAAAACTTAATTTGAAACAGGTTAACTTAGAATAAAACTGGAAGAACTATCTCACTATAATAATAATAATGCTTCCATTTGATGTAGCATCTTGTCACTCTTCTCAAAGTGCTTCACAGAATATAATGTAATGTGAATTAACTATATATTTTGTGGGTGAAACGCGGCAGCCAAATTGTGCACAGCAGTGTCCCACAAACAGTAGTGGATTGAAGTGACCAATTTAATATTATTTTGTAGGCGTATCTTATGCTGTGCAGCATGTATTGTGGTAGAAGGTGACTTACTGGTAGAAGTGTTTTATAATTACTGAGGGTAGTATAGTGCAAATGGTCTTTAATGCAAAATATTGCAATATTTCCTTTGTAAATGAACTGAAATGTTCCATGAATTTTATGAAGACTTTTGGGCTTGGATTTTGATTTTCGTATTTTCTCTCAAAATATTTTGTATTTGCAGGTCACAATAATAACACCTGAGCCATCAATTGAGGAATTCTCTGGCATGCAGTTTTGTAATGGAAGACGCATCAAATTTGCTCTCCCCTCCACCCGGTAACTGATAAGGGATTGAGTGAGGCAGTATGACTGTTTCATTAGTAAATCGATGTGGTATATCAATCAGGGATGCTCTTGGGACCAATTGTGCATATGTCCAATTTTTTTCAAGCAAAATGGTTCAGTTAATAATAGCAAAGTGGGCATTTATATAAAAATCATACTGTGTAACTTCAGTCGAGGCAGAGCACAACTTAATTTGCAGTCAACTTGGCGACTCAGAATACTGCTTCCAAAGCAGGATTTACAGGGAATGAATGGTTGCTTTGGCTGTGACCTCCTCAAACCCTTCTCTCTGCTGAGTAGGCACCGGTCTGCTTCACGTCTCCCAATCTACCATCCAACATATTTACCCCCACCCTCTGGAACTCCAACCCGGACTCCCTTTGGCCCTTCTCTTGACTCCTTCAAGGTTTACCTCAAGACTACTCTTTTGACCATCTTTTTCTTCCTTGCCCGAGCTCCCCGCCCCCCAAGGTCCCACACCAGCTCAGATGCAAATCCTGGGCTGTCCCAACTCTTCTTGATGTGAAAGGCACTACATTAATGTAAATTTGAGTTGTATTGTTTGCATCCAGTTGTCTCAGAGCTCCCCCATTTAATTAATCTTGAATATCTCATGCAAGTTATTTCATGGAACTACAAAGACTGGATGTCTCCCTGCAGGCAAGCAGATCTGCACAGGACAAGTCTGTTCCTCCCCTGGCTGTCAAACCCAGTAATGCTGGCTTGGGAGTACCTTCAACTCGTATCAGTGGGGTAAGCAGGTATAGATGGAGGGAGGTACAGAAGGAAAAACAACAGAGAAAGTTGAATTCCCCACCCCCAAAAGAAAAAATCTATTATAAGGATGATAAACTGTGCAAGCTACTTAGTTCAATAAAGCTAATGATGTAGAAATTTTCAATCTGAGTTAATTTTCTTGCAGTGGGGTAACAGACCATAAAATTAAGGACAGGACAGAGTTATTAATTACCACTGAAGGATGCTAAATGCGAGTGATGGATTGGCATTGCTTGCAGTCCATTAGATGGATTCAATTACCATTTTCTTGTTGCAAGGCTATTTATGCTCCTGGTACTTCAGTTTTTAAGCCTCAGGTTGTCAGCTTCTGGATCTGAAATGGCTCCTCATTATTCATTAAAAACAATTGTTCTGATTGCCACTCTGCTCCTGAAAATGATTTTTGTTTTGCCTTCAGTTTTAATTTCCGATGAATAATTTTGTTAACTTTGTAGACATTTTTGGGGGTTACCTGGATGTCTTGATGCATGTGGAAATCCATTGCCATGCCTAAGAGTATAATAATCCTTGCATTGCCTTTCATGTCAGGAGAATGTCTCAAAGTGCTTTATAGTGTATATCACTGTGTTTTATCAAATGCAAAGATTATTATTATTTTGTGGATGAATCAAAACCAGACACATAGTTTCACATACGTATGCCACCTACATATGGAAATTTCCTAGTGTCAGGAATGGAATATGTTCTCTGGAATGATGCATCCTGCTTACCTAATTCTGGAGAACATACATAGGAACATTCAACACAGGTTGGCAAGAACCAAGGCTTGGGGAGCTCAGAGTGTGTGTTGGGATATTGCTGGAGTTCAACCAGGTACAAAACTGCAAATTTTGCCATTGAGAGCATGGCTTGTCCAGCAAGAACCACTGTATCCATTGAAGAGTATGGCCTTTCAAAGAAAAATGCAAGCGGTGGATAGATTCATGGGTTTACTCTGTGAAGCATGCACAAATATAGAGATCTGGCATCCAAAGCGCATACCAACAGGAGCAAATTCAGCCAAGTCAGTAGAAAGATACTTTAGTTTTTCAAGAAACAAATTATTCAATTTCTGCATAAATATTGAATGAATATTGTTCTAGGTCACTGGCGGAATGTACGGCTCAAACTCTAAATCCATTCACCGCAAATATTTGGACCACACATTAGCAAACGGATCAGATCTGACCAGAAGCTCATACTATTTGCACACGCTGCAGGTACAGTTGCATTCTGCATGAAAGAAACTTGCAACAAAAAGCTATTGGTGTAATTACAGTTATCCTGAATCTCTGCTGGGCTGGATTGTACAGATTCACAAATAGATAATAATAATCCTTGTGCTTTATCATGTCTCAGAGCTTCACTGGATTATGTTTATTGTAAGATGGAATGACTATTTATAGGTGAATACAGTAGCCAATTTGTGCACAACAATGACCCCCAAGCAGCCATAATATGACATACTCTTCACTACATTTTCTGGTGTACAATTTCCTACAAATTTTAGTACAGGGATTCTTTTAGTTCATGCCTATACTGTGCAAGCCTCCCGCTACAGCTCTCTCCTCCAATCCAGCTTTATTCCCCATACAAATTCAAGTCACTACACTTTACACTAAAATCCTGAGAAGCACTTTAAATCACTTAAAATTTAAAAACAAAACCTGTTTATATCTTTATTCTTCAAATATTTATAATATTTATCAAATTCCCTTTTATATGAATTAATTGAATCTGGGTGCAAATTCACGACTCCTGTATAAAGCAATTTGTTGTTGTATCTGGTTAAAAAAAGGCTCCAACCTCCCCCTTATATTTCTCATAATAATTTTAGGTTTACACCCATCTGCTTGTTAATGATTCATCAGCCAATGTAAATTATTATTCACTAACCTTTTCAGAGTGTTAAATACTTCTAGTTAATCCCCTCTTAACCTTCTAAGTTGCAGTGTGTACAGCCCTATTTCAAAGTCATTTGTCGTAATTATATCCTCTCATCTCTGGTCTCATCCTCATGAACCAATGTTTCTGATGTACTCATCAGACCCACTCTTTCCACTCTGTCCTTTCTATATACTGCGTATCCTGAACGACCCACAATAGTTCTCATTGCTTCTTTTTATGGCTTTTCCCCACTGTAAAAGATACATGTATTTATTTAAAAATGCTATTATTCCCTTAGCGGTAAAGATGAGTGATTTTTCATCATAGGATCCATGGCACAGGAAGTTATATTCTGAGCAACTAGGACATTGTATATAATAATCCTTGCATTTGCATTTCTTGTAAACCAGCCCACAATAGCTCTGTTTGCAAGTGAGCAAGTGGGGCATCAGTTATCTTAACTTCATGGCTGTCTTTGACAGATTCTGTACAGTGCTGTAACTGTGTCTAATTTTGACTGAAGAATAGTTGTGAAGAGTACTTTGAAGTCTTTTGTTCCCCAGAAGCTTGAGGTTGAGGCCATACTGAGCTTCCTTTGCACTGATGTGTCCTGCACAAGTCCAGCAAAGCTGAAGCTGAACAAATCTGTTACCCATTCTCCATGCTGCTGTGTGTGCCCAGAGAGGCTTTCATTGTAACTGGGCACGAAATTGTCACCCCCCATCCTGTCTGAAGTCAAACATGTCTCCCAGATGTTGAGTTTGAAGTTGTGCCTGTGCAAATATTCCAGATTAATCTCCAGTTTAACTGCAGCCCAAAGACAAAAGTTAGCTCCTATAATCATGTGAATGCAAAAGGCATCAAAAGTTCATGTGATATGTCTTCAAAAACATCCACCAATTAGTATTGGTACATGTACATCTACCTATTTCCTTTGCTTTGGGGCATGAATAGAACAAAAGTCTTTGTACTCAACTAGGTCAGCCAGCAATGACATGTCAGAAGACAATTGATACTCCAGTGCAGTGCTGGGGGTGTGATGCATTGTCAGAGGTGCCATCCTTCAG